TGTCCTTCCTCCATAATCTCACGTAAAAACGGAGGAAAATCCCTAGCCGCAACACGGTCAGCACTAGCTTCTTCACCACCAATGTTAATGTTGGTGATCTTGTTCCTCTTCTTAAACCTCTGCAACCACCCAGAGGAAGCATTGAAGGGTTTGGGCTCTGCAATTCCCATCGTACATGACACTGCTGCGTACAGTTCACGTGCGTACTCCTTAACTGAGCGCGTGTCCACCGCCATGTTCCGTCTTGCCTGACGAATCAAGTAGCTCACAAGTAATTTCTCCGTTTTGAGAAGCACCTTGTTGTGGCAATACTTGATCATAGAAGCAACTGTAGACTTTGTGATGTTCATGTGTTCTTTTATCTTGGATGCATCTTTCTTGATTGTCCGGATCGTAGATTCGTTCACACCATGCTGGCGAGCCAAATCAACCTGTCTTGTTCCTTTCTCCAACTCTTGGATGATCTTGTATTTAATTTCGTAGCTTAGGGCATGTCGTATCTTCTTTGGCTTAGGGCGGCTGAGTCCAGGTAATGCAAGGTTTCTTTATGGTGGTGGTGGTGGTGGTCAGGTGATAGCCATTCTTATGGAACAATAGATACCGATATACACGGTGTAGCCGGGAGGGGTGTAACTGAAGCAGGTAGGTCAACGGGCTTCATCACTCCCACTGCGGGGCACATCATATTACATTAAACCAATCACAGCTAGTGGGGAAGGGAGGTAAGGATGCTTGGCCCAATCACAGTCCGATACGTCATATGACGTCACCGATAACGCAACAAAGACATACACTGCGCAACCTACTCGCGCCGCTTACCCAACATGGCGGGAGAGATGGCGGGAGGTTTGAATCCAAAAATGGCGCGGCGCGAGATGACCGCCAGCCGCTCTATGAGTAAAAGATTACATGCACCGCGTAAAGTGAACATTCCGGGTCTGGCAGGGTACCGCGTAAACGTGGAAACACATAAAAAAAAAACGAGTAAAGCGGGGTAATACTGTAATAGATTTCAAATACTGTACTGTCAAAAATAATGTATGATTCAGAGGTGAAAGTAGGCAAGGGAGAGTAAGACCAAGAAAGATATGGAAAGATGAGGTCAAGAATGCACTAGAAGTGACAACGATGGACATCCAGGAAGCAATGGTGTGCATGAATAGTGTAGAGTATTGTGTCGGGTGATTTCTGGAGAAGGAATTTCTACTGATGGGGTGATACTGGCTTGTGTGAAGTGACAAAGGTAAAACAGATTTGCAGCCATATTGTAAGTGAGCACTAATGCCTAATACATGTTTTACAGTAGTAGTAATAATGAATGTACAGTATAACAAAAAAATTATGGGTAAATGTTTGTGTGTATGTGCTTGTCTCTACTGAACCTACAGTATGGGAAAAAATTACCAGGTAAACTGACATGAAAAACACTGAACTATTGTACTGTATATACCAGGTGATTTTTTTATTCAAGAACACTAAATACCCATAATGGATGAGTTGTCGGTTCTGGGTAAACACAAGAAATAAACTCTGCCACATTCGTAGTGATACGGTATATATTTTGTAACAAAAGTTTAAAGTCCTGCTATAATAGTAGTGATATTTGTACAGTATTTCTCTAGAAACAGGGCCACCATTTGCAATGACATCACCAGTTTCCCAGCAGACGATGCTCTCCAACAAACTCACTGCTGCTGTTGGAGGTAGTACAAAGGATGGCCTCTTCAGACCCCACGTTTAGGTAAGTTTAAAGTTTATTTTTTACGGTCTAAGTCATGGACATTTTGTAAGTGAAGAAATGTGCCGCAAAGAGCAGCATATGGACATAAAAAACTCCCATGTTCACACCAGCTCAGTTGTCATGGTAGACTTTCTCTTTTTTTCCAGTGCATTTACAGAGTACTGTATATCAGTACTAGATGGAGATACGAGTCAATATAGAAGTAATAACATTGTCTGGACTTTGTTTTGAGAATGCATTGGGATTTATCATCATTTATATTAATTAATGGGTAAAATTTTACTTTAACTACCATAAGTATTTGGATGTTTAGATTTGAGATGGGCTATATTGGGTAAAGTTTAAGTTTTGGTTGTCTCTGTAATTAGACATGTAGACTATGTTTTTCTTCTGATGGTTTGCCATGTGTTATGAACGATTTAGACCTTTTTCTCTCTCGGAACTCACTAGTTTTGAGTTACTACCTACTACCCCCCCCCCCTTTTTAACAGTGTATGCTAAGCTAACCTAATAACTTATAACTCAGCATACCCTAACCTAACCTAATCTAGCCTAAGACTTGTATTTCCTTAAGCGATCAAAAAATGTTTTGAGACAGAAATTCTGTAGAGATAATGTGTCTTATTGTTTAAAGTACTTAAACCCATAGTTAGAATCTTAAGGTTCCCCAGATGACCAAAACCAAAATAATACCAATAATATTTTTAATGATTATACTATGAAATTTGTAGTATGGGCAATTATTATCAATTGAATTAGTTAATGTGCTTAGTAACATTTATGTATTCAAAATAGTATTACTGTACTGTGTTGCACAGTAAAGCACAATTAATTATCTGATAATATACTGTACAGCTACTCCTCGACTTACGACCACGCGGACATACGACCGCCCCAGTCGTACCAAATTGTTTTCAAATTACGTATTTTCGAGTCCCGACGTTAGTGATTGCGCTGTGTACTGACAAAATTTTCGTTTGTAATTCCCATTAAAATGGCTGGCAAGCTTAAAAGTGAGAGTTTTGTGGTGCTGAGAAGAAAAAGAGACACCCATATTAGATTTTCTATGTATTATCTTCGCATTTTCGACTTACGACCTGGAATTGGGTCCCTAACCCCGTCGTAAGTCGAGGAGTGGCTGTATATTTGCAGAGCCGATCAGCCGAGAAGGTTGGACAACTACTTCCAGGGTTCATCAGGGCAGATGAAAGAAATTTACCAAAATTAGATGTCTTTATGATTGTAGAGTATTATCAAGAACTCCGTCATCGAGCTATGAAGCACGTTAAATTACATCTGTCGTCTGATAATCTCAAGCCCATTCCCTGGCCATGGTCGTCCCTAGTCCTTCCACAACATTAAATATAGACATCAGAGACGAAAACTTACATTTTCCAGACATGAAATAGAGAACAGTGATGAAAACTTCCATGTTGGAGTTATCGGTCTTGAGCAGTAATTTATTTTAACCTAAAATTAAGGTATGCCTGTATATATACAGTATAGTCTTCATTTACGCGGTCAACTGAACCCGTGGAGGTCCGCGTAAAACGAGAAATGCGTAAACGAAATAACAGAACATATGGGATTAATTGAAATAGAGACTGGGCCGACCCCCAAACTACACTTTTTCCGACACAATATGTACGTTGTAGTAAAAATAACATCTTAATTTTATGATGGTATGCACACACAATTAATATTTAAGAGCAATATCAATAATATTAGGTTTTTTAACACTTACGTTAGGAAAAAAGATGGCTGGGCACACGGGGATGGGGGGTTGGTTCCGAGGCAGAGGGCAGATTATTGGCCCTCACCTGTATCACTTGTATCAATTGTATCACTATCCACCAAAGAGGCTTGTAGGGCCTCTTTGTCAAACCCCTCAAAGTCCATATCCTCACTATCACTGACTTGGGCCAGCTGTGGTGGGTGGCGGGTGAAGAACTCGATAATGTTTTGTTGACTGGGCGACCTTGTGCGCACCCTGCCTGCACCGCTTCCCGCGTAAATGATGGAATGAACCATGTAAATAAAAATTGTCGGTCTGGCAAGGTGCCGCATTAATGACCAAACGCGCAAACCAAATCCTCGTAAATTGAGACTATACTGTAAATTTAATACACACATCGAAATGATCTTCACAACAGTAGGTGCTGGGGAACTGTCGTCGAGCAGCAAGCCACCTCGTTCCTATCTTCTTATGTTTTGGTACTCTGATGAATATTTTGCTTGGTGAGGATTTGTCGGTGCTCTTGCACATTGGCACGAAGCACCAACGACTCTTTGTCCTTTCCTTGAACATTGTATATGGCCACAAGTCCTGTATTTTTGCTGGTAACATCACATACACCTCAGCTGGCTGCCTCCAGGCTCCCTCTCGGCAGCTCGAGCCAGTCTGTGACTTCACAACCAATCACAGAGCTTTTCGCAGTCACGTGACTTTTTAGCACCTTTAACCCTTTTTTTTACTTTTTGGCCCAATTTATTTAAAAATGTCATTACCATAGTGAATTTAAGCATTTTCTTTACCCATTGACCTGCCAACTTAAGAAAAAATTCCGACCAAACACTCGTCCATTCCCATACACTAAAAACTATATCAGTTAGGAACCTAATATTTTGCATAAATGTAGCCTTATGTTACAGAAAGATGTGGCATGATCCACACAATTGATTACCTTAAATGAAGTGCCAAAAGTGTCCACCACCATGTTGCAGGCACCAATTTATTCTTCTCAGCATACTGTCCAACACAGAATGTAACATTTAGCCGACGCATGTGTTTTTTTACTTTCACGCAGCCTGTTTCTCTGAACGGCTAGAATGTAACATTTAGCCGACGCATGTGTTTTTTTATTTTCACGCAGCCTGTTTCTCTGAACGGCTTCACCAGTTTCCGTATCACTGCAATTTGACACTCCCTAAACGATGCATTCTTGATGTATGTTCGACGAGAAACATGCTTTCTTCCAGTGGTGTCACCGAGTGAAAACATTAAATGCCACTGATGCATCACGTGAAACCTGATAAATATCAAAATCATGTTATACCTTTCGTAACATTAAGCTACATTTACACAAAATATTAGGTTCCTAAGTGATGTAGTTTTAAGTGTATAGGAATTATTTAGGGTTCTCGAATAAAAAAAAAAAAAAACACCCTGTATTAGTCAATCAAAAAGAAGCATAAAAATCAGTCAACAAATAATGTATCTATTATTTCAAAGACTAAACTGCAAGCTACAAATAAATACCTTGATATGAGGATGCAGGTTGTAGTGTTCTGCATAACTGTCCAAGTACTGAAGAACCTGACTATGATGAAGGAAAGATTCTTCCCCAGATGGAAACGGAAAATCTGGGAAGCCCATTACCTCCTTGGGTAGGTTTGTCCTAAATCAGATAAAAAAATAATTTATATACCCCGTATATATTTCAAGTACAGTAAATCCACAATGGAAATGTGGATAAGATAAATCTTGATAAAATCACACAGGGAAAAGGGAAACAATGGAGAAACTTAATTTTCGTCTTTATTCAAGACATCTTCAGAGGCAACTGAATTACAAAGACTGAAAGAGACTGACCTGACTTGACATGACTAGTTATGTCGCCCATTCTTATAAGCTCTTTTTTATGTTTGCTGTGGTGGCTAGTGTGTGGATTAGTGGATGACATATTTTTTTGACCTGACCTCATGTTTTGTAAGATCACCCTGTGTACATAAGTTCTCTTTCAGTCTTTGTAATTCAGTTGCCTCTGAAGATGTCTTGAATAAAGATGAAAGCTAAGGCTCTCCACTGTTTCACTTTTCCCTGTATGAATTTATAAAAACAAAAATAATAATAATAATAATAATTATACAGGGTGTCCCATAATTTTTCATACAACATATCACCAACGCTATTACAAGCATAACTCCAGTTGTACTTGAACGTGTTCTTCAGCAGTGGAGGACACGCATTGAAGAGTGTTTTCAACAAAATGGTAGTCATGTTGAGCATATTATATAAATAAAAATGGATTTTCATATAAAATATATTTTTCCTATGTACAGTATGGAAATTTATGGGACACCATATATATATATATATATATATATATATATATATATATATATATATATATATATATATATATATATATATATATATATATATATATATATATATATATATATATATATATATATATATATATATATATATATATATATATATATATATATATATATATATATATATATATATATATATATATATATATATATATATATATATATATATATATATATATATATATATATATATATATATATATATATATATATATATATACCTGATTATGCCATACTTGGTCAATAGAACCCAGAGGGTCCCGTGTTAAGTGAAATCAGCGTTAAGTGAACAACAGAACATATGGGATTAATTCCAATAGAAACCGGCCCGACCCCCAAACTCCACTTTTTGAAGACACATAACTATGTTGTAGTAAAAATAACATCTTAATTTTATGATGGTACATGCACACAATTAATACTTAAGAGAAATAGAGAAATACAGTCGCCAAGTTAATGTCCATTCAAATAATGGACTCAACTCCCTCCCCCTCTTCTCACACTACACTCGCTGGCTCTTCCCTCTCTGAGAAATTTTTGGGGGAAAACCAGGTATAGAAATAAATAATACCTCAAGCTAAAGTTAGGATAATATAATTGACATTGCCGGATTCCTTGTAAGACCAGGAATATTTTGAATATAAATGTCATATATTTTGCACAAAAGATAACATATGTACTTAGAGAAAAATTTTTATCTAAAATTTGTATGTCTAATGCAAAATATATGATGTTTATATTCAAAATGATCACCAAATTATAAGAATTCCAGCAATGTAAATTATATTCTGACCGGGTAATTTGTATGAATTTTATGAGCTAAAACAAATATCTTCAGTTAATAAAAAAAAAAATAATTCTCCACGGGGTAACAGATGGTCAGTCGGTCCCTCCCTCCCCCCACCAACCGTCCCAAGGAGATGTGTGGGATAACCACTAAATTTTAATAAATAATACCTCAAACTAAAGTTAGGATAATATAATTGACATTGCTGGATTCCTTGTAAGACCAGGAATATTTTGAATATAAATGTCATATATTTTGCACAAAAGATAACATAGTTACCTAGAGAAAAATTTTTATCTAAAAATTGTATGTCTAATGCAAAATATATGATGTTTATATTCAAAATGATCACCAAATTATAAGAATTCCAGCAATGTAAATTATATTCTGGCCGGGTAATTTGTATGAATTTTATGAGCTAAAACAGGCAGTCAGGCAGGGTGGGGCAAATCTAAAAATAGCGTCTCGAGCCAGACACTCACCGCGTATATGTGGAAAAAATCCGTGTTAAGTGAAAGTTCAGCTCTGGCGAGGCACCGCGTATATGATAAAACGCGTTAAGTGAAACCGCGTTAGGCGGGGTAATACTGTGTATATAATATAATATATATGTTGATAACCACAAGGAAAGAAGAAACACGATTCCCAGCGCTTTTCTTTCCTTGTATTATCCATATACGAATCACGCGCACCTACAGTGATTTACTTGCATATATATATATATATATATATATATATATATATATATATATATATATATATATATATATATATATATATATATATATATATATATATATATATATATATATATATATATATATATATACAGTCAACCCTCACTTTACGCGGTTAATGTAACCCACAGGGTACCGAGGAAAGTGAGAAACGTGTAAAGTGAATAACATAACATATGGGATTAAATGAAAGAGACCAGCTGACCCCCAAACTCCACTTTTTCCGACACAATACCTATGTTCTAGTAAAAATAACATCTTAATTTTATGATGGTACATGCACACAATTAATACTTAAGAGAAATAGAGAAATACAGTCGCCAAGTTAATGTCCATTCAGATAATGGACTCAACTCCCTCCCCCTCTTCTCACACTACACTCGCTGGCTCTTCCCTCTCTGAGAAATTTTGGGGGGAAAACCAGGTATAGAAATAAATAATACCTCAAGCTAAAGTTAGGATAATATAATTGACATTGCTGGATTCCTTGTAAGACCAGGAATATTTTGAACACAAATGTCATATATTTTGCACAAAAGATAACATATTTACTCAGAGTAAACATTATATCTAAAATTTATATGTCTAATGCAAAATCTATGATGTTTATATTCAAAATGATCATCAAATTGTAAGAATTCCAGCAATGTAAATTATATTCTGGCCGGGTAATTTGTATGAATTTTATGAGCTAAAACAAATATCTTCAGTTAATAAAAAAAAATATATATTCTTCACACCATGGTGCCAGGTGGTCGGTGGTCGGTCGCCGGTCCCTCCCTCCCTCCTTCCCACCCCCCACCAACCATCCCTACCAGATGAATGTGTGGGAATACCAGACTGTTTACCTTTTTAGTAATAAATAATAAATCAGACTAAAGTTAGGATAATATAATTGACATTGCTGGATTCCTTGTAAGACCAGGAATATTTTGAATATAAATGTCATATATTTTGCACAAAAGATAACATATTTACTCAGAGTAAACATCATATCTAAAATTTATATGTCTAATGCAAAATCTATGATGTTTATATTCAAAATGGTCATCAAATTGTAAGAATTCCAGCAATGTAAATTATATTCTGGCCAGATAATTTGTATGAATTTTATGAGCTAAATAAAAAAATTATACTTCACCCGTGTAAACGGGTACACCCACCGCGGAATGTGAGCATCCTGGGTTCTGGCAGGGCACCGTGTAAACGTGGAAACGCGGAATGTGGGACCGGAATGTGGGACCGCGTAAAGTGAGGGTTGACTGTATATATATATGTATATATATATGTATATATATATATATATATATATATATATATATATATATATATATATATATATATATATATATATATATATATATATATATATATATATATATATGTGTGTGTCTCTGCTATAACGCGATAATGTGTTCTTGTAAAAATATCGTTATAGAAAATCGTAATAGAAATAACAGGGCTTATGGAGAAAATAGGGTTAGGTGCAGTTTACTCGAAATCGAAAAAATTTAGTAGTTAGCCTAACACAAAGGATAGCACAGTCTAAATAAATGTTACATTCATATCTAATAATGAAATCATACAGTAAATTTAACACTTTACCTTGAAAAAACATGAATGTAACTTGATGGGGGAGAAGGGTGATTTTGAGGTTGATAACATCAAGCTTCTCTTCAAGTGTTATATCCTTTCTTTTACGATAATCACCGGGAATTCTATCATCAGAATGCTTTTTGGAGATATTCTTCTTTACCATATTCACAGTTAATACCACAAAATTGGAGAAATAGTAAGCAAAAATCGCGTTATAGCAAACAAGCGATCGCATTATACAAATATTGTTCCGAATTCATAAATCGCGTTAGAGCAAATTCGCGTTATCAAAACACGCGTTATAGCAGAACTATATATATATATATATATATATATATATATATATATATATATATATATATATATATATATATATATATATATATATGCAAGTAAATCAATGTAGTGCTAATTGAAGAAAATTTCAAGTAATTCAGTGAGCACAGACCTCAGTCTGCACCACCCCCTGAAGATGTGAAATGCCCAAAGCCGCCTGGGGAACCTGTGGTTTCTTCCTTCCCTTGTATATATATATATATATATATATATATATATATATATATATATATATATATATATATATATATATATACATATATTACATATATATATATATATATACATACATACATACATATATTAGGGTTAATTCCCTCACACTTGATGCTGGTTAATAAACTGAGGGTACTCATGAGCAGAAACGCGTAAAGTGAATAACATAACATATGGGATTAATTGAAATGGAGTCCAGGCCAATCCCCAAACTCCACTTTTTGACGACACATAACTATGTTGTAGTAAAAATAACATCTTAATTTTATGATGGTACATGCACACAATTAATACTTAAGAGAAATAGAGAAATACAGTCGCCAAGTTAATGTCCATTCAAATAATGGACACGACTCCCTCCCCCTCTCACACTACACTGCCGGCTCTTCCCTCTCTGAGAAATTTTGGGGGGAAAACCAGGTATAGTAATAAATAATACCTCAAACTAAAGTTAGGATAATATATTTGACATTGCTGGATTCCTTGTAAGACCAGGAATATTTTGAATATAAATGTCATATATTTTTCACAAAAGATAACATACTTACTCAGATTAAACATTTTATCTAAAAATTTTATGTCTAATGCAAAATATATGATGTTT